CCGTCTCTGAGCGGAAGCCGCGCGGGGAGCCAGCCCGGGGCTCGCGTGGGCGCCCCTGGTGCCACCGGGCGTCCGTGGGAGCGAGACTGTCACCCGGCGCCTCTGGGAGCGGCCTGTGGGCTCCCTATTGCCCCCGTGCAGAGCAGCCCCCTCCCGAGGTCGTGCGCTTATAAGGGGCTAGGTACCAACCAGGGTGGATGAACGGTAGCGTGGATAAACCCTTCTAAATAAGCGATCTGCTAAAGTAACTTCTGACCATCAGGGAATGTGCTGCTTTATGTAGTGATTAATTAATGAGGAAACCTCTCTTCAGGCCCTGCTTTCAAACCTTGCCTTCGTTTGCCAAGAGTGCTAACTTTTATTTATTTATTTTAGAGCTTTCCTTGTGGAAGAGCTGGCAGTGAAGACACCTCTGGTAGGTTTAACAGTCGGGTGTGGCTGATGTGCTTGCAATAAAACTGTGCTTCAGGATGCGATGGAGAAATGGTGTGTTGAAATTAGGAAGCAGTCCATGTGGAAGATGAAGGAAAGAAGGGATTTAAGGAGAAGAGCTGCAGAGAGAGGGAATATACCTGTATATTACAAAAGAGCATTACAGTAGAAAGTAGAGCACCTTTTTAAGCAGTCAGATGGCGAGATACTCAAAAGCAGAGTTGCAGACTCATTTAGGTAAATAACCTGGCTACTTTGGGTCCTTTTGAACTCTTGCACCTGTGTCATGAAGTCTCCATGGGTTGGGGAATGTCCTTGCTGTTTTTTTCCTTTTCTTTGCTGTTGGTTTGGCAGAGGTTGGGGATGTCTGTCAGCATGCTGACCCAGTGGCCTGATTGGAGTGGAGTAGTTTACTTGAGCATTTTTTTTTTCCCTCCCCCCACCCGGCAACATCCATCTGAGAAGGATGGCTGTTCTAAAATGGTGCTGTTGAACTTTGCACTTTTCTCCCCCCGCTTCCATGTTTCCAAAAGCTGTACTAAAGTTTGTAAACCCGAAGAGAAGGTAATAACTTGGGCTAAGCTGGAGGCAAGTCCTTCAGCAGCCAGGTAGCAGGAGGAGAGGGTACATGCACAACTTTTGTTTAGAGGATGTCTAAAATCAGCCCTGTCAGAGTTGCTTATAGAGCAGCAAGCTTTTGTGCCCACCTTGCAGTCAGACAAGGATGGAAGAGGTCCAGTTCTCTGCTGTTGTGGGGATTAACTGTCATACCTGTAAACATCTGAAATTTGTTTTAATCTGCTTCTTCTAAGCACTTGCCTCCTAGCCCCTTGTTCCAGTAGAGGTGCAAAGCTGCCATGAGATGCCAAATAAATGTGCTCTGTTTATATTACTTAATGAGTGGTGGTCAGTCACATCAGAGTGATTGATTGTCATCAGTTAATTACTGCTACTACTAGCCATGGCCAGCGTCAAATTTGTGCCTCGAAATGTTTGCTAATCCATCATCGTGGCATTCAGTTTAATATATTTGAGTACAACTCTGTGGGACATCCAAAAAGAAAGCAAGGCCACAGATCTGAGCGAGACCTTTGTAGCTAATACACATGATGTTTTTCAGCAGTGCAGTGATTCTAGAACTGTGCTGACATGAGCACTAGTGGGGATATAACTGAAAGGGGAAAACAGTTGTGTTCATTCTAGTTGGGGTTAGAGAAGAAGGGAAATGTGCAGCATGTATAATTAAAGATGAGGTTTGGATAGAAAAGAATTTACATCTTCATTGTGAAAGTGTTGTACACACAACAGTGTCTTAATGTGGTCTTGGCAGGCGATTTTAGCTATTGGCTGTTTATAAAGTGTAACAACTTTGGTAAAAACATAAGCCTCTTTAGGACTGGAAGAAGCAGCAGCATCTGACTTTGAAATGCTAATCTGGCCAAGCTGTCATAAGCAAGCCATGGGGAAAAACACTGATGACACCAAAAACTCAATTAGGTGTCTCGGGAACAACAACAACAAAAAATGTTTAAATATAAGACAATTAATATAAATTATAGTTTGCTTTTCTAGTGTCAATGACTTCTTTTAATCCCCAGCTTGCAAAACTTGGGAAAGTGGAGAAGATGGCATCGGAAGACATCACCAAGCTTGCAGAGTCCCTTGCCAAAACTAAAGTGGGTGGAGGACAGTTGAGCTTTAAAGGCCAGAGCCTTAAACTCAATACAGCAGAAGATGGTAAGAGAAAATGTCTTTGTCTTGTAATTCTAAAGTCTCGCAGTATACCTCCAGCACATGTGGCCAAATTGTCATATTAGTTGTGGTGCAAAGGTTGGTTTGCAGATGTTTAGTTACAGCTATCTCTGGCAGAGATATTTTCTTCTCTTCTCCCAAGCTGTTTCAACCTGGTACTCTGGCAGTACTACTTGCTATGGCACTGGGGGTTTGACTGTCCAGTTCTTGTTTTCTTGACATTTTCATCAAGTGCTTTTGACAACCGCTGTATTAAATGTCAGTTCTCATTTTAAAAACATTAAGCAATATCATAGTGCTTCAAGCAGCTGCATACTTTGAAAACCTGTGTAGTATAGGATTGAGATGATATATTAGTCTGCTGCTTTTGTAAATACAGAGATGGTCATCTGATAATAGAACTAGAAATAAATTATGAAAAGGGAGAATGGACAACAGAGAACACATTCTCTCTAGTGATCTGATGCTTCAGCTCTGTTTCAGGACTTTCAGGTAATGTTGCTCAACAGTTTTGGCTGAGGGTTGAGTTGAGCAAGTGCATCAAAGCTTACCTGTGGTACCTAAGATAAGATGCTGGCTAAAAGGCCAAGAATACTGTCTGCTCTCTGCAGCTGAAGAAGTGATCAAACAGATTGAGGAATTTGATGGCCTGGAAGCATTGCGCCTGGAAGGCAACACAGTAGGTGTGGAGGCAGCAAAGGTCATTGCCAAAGCCTTGGAAAAGAAGTCGGAGCTCAAGGTGAGATTCTCAAGTAGGTGATGTGAAAGTGAGAAGTACAGTAGAAATACTAAAGGTCTATCTGCACTCTTCCTGCAGCAGCTTGTCTTGAGTTGGCCTCAAAACTCACTCGCTTTGTTTTTCCAGTAGGAAGCACAGACAGGAAAATGTGGCAGAGCCGGGGGACTTGGGAAAAGTGGGAATGCTGTGTATTGCAAACCGATCCCATTTCAGGAAGCTTTCAATCTTAAAGATTGAGAAGCTGCTCAAGAAAGAGCTTCTGGGGACAGGCACCATCTGTAAATAAAGAACTGTGTGACAAAAGACCAAGAGAACTTGTGTTCCAATGGAAAAGCTGGGTTTTCTAGCTCTTCAGGGAATCTTCAAAGAACATCTGAGCATTGAAGAAATAATGAAGGAAATGCATGAGGATTTTTTTTTTGCCACTGACATGGTTTCTACTACCCTTCTAGCTTGATATTAGAGGCCCTCTGCAGAAAAGGGATAAGAAAAGTTGATTCACATTCATCACTCAAGTGTGGAGTATTTCTGGATTGTCTGGCTCTATACCTTAAGAAAATCCATATTCCTAATATATCCTTCAGTTTCCTGCTATGTTTCTTCTATGGAAGCTTTCTTAGCAGAAAAACAAGTTGAATGCAAGCTAGAATTCCTGTGTAGTTTTACTTACAATGTTCATTTCAATGACTTTTTCCTTGAAAGAGAAGTAATTAAAATGTTAGTTCTTGTAGCTCTTCAGTATAATCAAATGCCAAGCCCAAGGGTACGCCGTCAGTACTAAGTTGTCCCTAGTGGTGCAATGCAGCTTATGTGTAAACCTCTGTACAACTGTGTTATAAATACCTTAATGGCTTCTCTTGTGTTTGTATCTGTTTCTTCTTTTAGAGGTGTCATTGGAGCGATATGTTCACAGGGAGGCTAAGATCTGAGATCCCTCCTGCTTTGGTAAGTAAAAACTAGATGGGAGACTTTGGCTATAATATCTTCTTTGCTCACCTGTTATGTTTTCTGGGGGAGTATTTTTCTAAGGCTTTGTTAGCAGAGAGATAATCTTCTCTGCTACTGGCACTGAGTGTCTCAGAGTAGGTGAGTGGTTTTGTGCTCCTTCTGTATGAGTTGATAAAAGGCCAGGCAGAGGTCCATGCTAATGAAGAAGTTTATTCTGGAGAGAACCACCATCTTGGTGCTCTGGCAGGTAGTGGGGAAACGAAGTTCTGCAGAGCAAGAACACCAACACAACTGCAGAAATACATGTTCCTTTGAGCAGTGTAGAGAGGAAAGTCACTTTGGGAAAAATATGTATGTTTGACCCAAAGGAATCAGAAAGCTTCTTGATAACTGTCTTGCAGTTATCCTTAGTAATTTGCTCACTCCTTTTCCAGCTTTAGCATCGCTAGCTTCTGCCTTTTTGCTGTTACTAAAAGCCAGTCCTTTCTCTCTCCCACCCCTCCTGCCATCTGCTTCCTCACAGATCTCTTTGGGAGATGCCCTTATCACTGCCGGGGCGCAGCTGGTGGAGCTGGACCTGAGTGACAATGCCTTTGGGCCCGATGGCGTGCGTGGCTTTGAGGCGCTGCTGAAGAGCCCAGCTTGCTACACCTTGCAAGAGCTCAAGCTCAACAACTGTGGCATGGGCATTGGAGGCGGCAAGGTAAGGGGTGTCACTGCAGTCAGAGTGAGGTTAGGACAGGACTTGGCTTCACACTGCCCTACACACAACCACTGCAGTTAGAAGGTAGCTCTATAGCCCCCACCACATGCTCAAAGAGCCAGCTAGACTAGGTTACTCAGGGCCATGTCCAGTCAGCTTTGACTATATCAAAAGATGGAAACTACACAACCTCTTTGGGAAACTGTTCCAGTTTTTAAGCACACAGAGTAAAAAGAGGCTCTTGTTTAAACAGAATTTTAGTGTTTTGAAACGTGCATTGAATTTAACATATTGCATGTATTTCAGTGTGCCTATTCCTTCTTGTCTTGGGGCATGTGCTGAAAAAGGGTTTAGCCCTGTCATTTTTAGTTGCCCTTTGTGTTCCCTGTTGTTCGTTTTTACAGCTTGATGATATTGACCCTCAGCCAGACTGAACAATCTCGGCGCTCTCGGCCTCTCTCTGTAAAATTCTCCATTTCTTTTGTGGCTCTTTGTTGCACTCACTCCAATATATCCATGTCTGAGGAGCCCAAAAGTGGATCCAGCACTCCAGGTGTGACCTCCGCAGTCCTGAATAGGGTAGAAGGGTCACCTCGCTTGTCCTGCTGCTGAGTCTTTCCTAAAGCTACACAGGAAGCTTTGCAGCAGGGTCATGTTGCTGGCTCATGGTCAACTTTTTGGCCACAAGGATACTTGGGCCCTTCACTGCCAAGCTGCTTTCCAGCCGGTCAGCCTCCAGCCTATAGTGATAGATGGAATCATTCCTCCCCATGTGCAGGACTTTGCATTTCCCTTTGAACTTTGTAAGGTGGTTCTTGGCCTGTTTCTCCAGTGCAAGGTCACTTCCCTCTGCACAATTGCATCAATTAAACTCCTAAATATTCTGACCAATTTTTCCATATGAGAGAGAGATGTTCTATCTTAGACCCTAGATTCCCTTCTCAAGACAGCTACCAGTGCTGAGTTTCAAGGAACAAGGCTGTCACTGAAGGATACCTATCACATGTAATGGAAAACCAGGGCTAACTGTTATTGTCATTAAGACTCTATCTTTGCCTATTCGTGAATCTAATGTTGTTAATGGGAGCAAGGCATTTTTAGTGCTGCAAAGTTATCATTTTGTTCCTAAGACTGTAGTTGGTGAGTGTTGTAGCAACACATGGTTCTGCACACCCTTCTAGGAGCAGATGTCTTTCAGCAGTGACTCAAATGTTTCTTGAGAAATGGGTATATAAAAAGTATTTGAATTTCTGCAGAATGAGATGCTCAGGTAGTATAAACAGCTTGTGTTATTTTCAGATATTGGCAGCTGCCTTGAAAGAGGGTCACAGGAAATCCAGTGCCCAGGGCAAGCCTCTGGCTTTGAAAATATTTGTGGCTGGCAGAAACCGTCTGGAGAACGATGGTGCCACTGCTCTGGCAGAAGCCTTTGGGGTAAGTACCAAACCAGACAGACCTTGGTGATCTGCAAATGGGAGCAAAGTGTCCTTAAGTGCAGATGCCAAAGGAATGTACATATAGCTCCAACTTGGAGACAGGGCTGGTCAACAAAAACTTCCTAAGCATTTCTTGTTCAGTCTTCTGGCAGAAGCCACCTAGTGTTTTCTCCTGGAATATTGTGTAATGGTTGATAGATTTTTGCCTGCTCTCTCTGATCAAACTGCACTCTTATTTGGAGGAGCAGAATTTGGTGTGGTTGAGGCCACCTACTTTTTTCTGCTCTTTCTGTGGAAAATTTCTGAATTACAATGTATATTAAGTGTATTAGCAAAGATACTGCAAGATTAGGGTTTCCTTGTGAGGAGCTGTCTGGATGTGATCTTGACTAATCAGAAATGACAGCAAAAATAAGACTTCTTAGATATTTAAAAGTGCATAAAATTAATGAGGAATTTGGACTAAATGGTGCTATGACAATGGGATTCTTGACTGTGTTGTGTGACATGCTATCAAGACTCCAAAGAGTTCTCATCTTGTTGTTGTTGTTCTTCTGCCTCCCACCTCCCCCAATGTCTGCTTTTGCAGTAAAGGCAAATGTAGACCTTGAGTAAAGGAATGTCATATCAAATGATACTGTTTGGTCTATTCTAGAGAACCCTTGTTGTAAAGGAATCTAGAACAGATATGGTAAGGGATGCTATCTGTGGCCCTTAGAATCAGAGGTTAATCTGTCACTTGCCCCATACCTTCAATTTTACTTAGAATTGTGACATGAATAAATAATTCTGTGCAGAAGAGCTCATTGACTTGAGTTGCAAGAAGACAGTTGTGAGCAAACTCTGAAGAGTGGACACTGTATTCTTGGCTTGAAGTATGTTTTAACTGTTTTTTTCATGTGTCCTTTGTCAGATTATTGGGACTCTAGAAGAGGTTCATATGCCACAGAATGGAATCAACCATCCTGGCATCACAGCGCTTGCCCAGGCCTTTGCTATCAACCCACTGCTTAAGGTTATAAACTTGAATGACAACACGTTCACAGAGAAAGGAGCTGTGGCCATGGCAGAGGTGAGTAGTTATAAGGTTGTGAGTTTAGGTTATGAGTTTTGTCTTCTCCATTCTGGCTTCCTCAGATGTAGTTAGTATCAGCATCTCTGGGTTTGTGGAGCCACATACTGCACTGAGGCAGAGCAGTGACAGAAAGTTAACCTCCCAGAGTGGTTTGACATGGATTGACTTGCATGTCTGTATTCTCAAAATGTGCTGCTTTGCAGACTCTGAAGGCTCTTCGACAGATTGAAGTGATCAACTTTGGAGACTGCCTAGTGCGTTCAAAGGGGGCTGTTGCTATTGCAGAAGCTGTCAAGGAAGGGCTTCACAAATTAAAGGTATTGCATTCTCTTGTTCAGCTTTGAATCCCTATTGAGAACAATTTCCCTACCCTCCTGTGCCTTCCCTGATTTTTGTACAGTCTTCTAGCCCTATTCATTTTAAAGTGAGGTTCACCTGAGTGCAGATTTTGTCTGCACTAAAAGCAATAAACTATGCTGTAGGTCACTGTAATAGCCACACCCAGGTAAGAGTATTCCAAGTTGAGTTGTATTGGTGATCTGTTTAGGTTCCACTTGTTTTTTAAAACTCCTGGTTCTGCTCAAGTACTATTCATGAGTCTGATGACTGAAGGATCTGCTTTCAGAGCCTCTGAGGGTTATAAGATTGGGTCTGAGGTGTATGTGAACAGTTTGTAATCTGCTTAACACTTCAGAGTGCATATGGTTAATGCTTTTTTTTGCTAAGTGTGTATCAAAGGTCCAAATATTTTTAGCTTCTTGGCAGTACCACAGCCTTCTGAATCAGTATTTGCATAGGACTGGCATTTGACAGATATGCCAAAGTCCAATCAGTAACAAAGTAAATTATGATCTCTAGAATCACCAGAAGATGCATAATTCCTACTCTTGCAAGCTTACAGTCAAAAAAAAAAAAACCCACCTCTGAGTGTTAACATTATTTACTAATTTACTAGTGTACAAATCTGGCAAAAGAAATAGCGGTTTTGTAGTGAAATGTGAGCAGTGCAGGATCCCTTACTCAGTCTTCTACTGATTCCTTATTTCTAAATCTTTCATGGAAACTTCTTAAATAGGATTCTAACCAAGGTATCGAGGTGAACAATGAATGCCCGGAAATAACTTTTTTTCCTAGAGCAAAAACAGTTAAGAAAGGGTGTCATTAAGCAATAATAGCTGATTCATTCTGTTCAAGGACTGCTTCCCTCCTGTTGTTAATATTAAATCTCAGGAGTGGTTTGACTGAGTACAGTGCAGGATGTGGGGGATGTTCGCTGCAAGTTAAGTAACTTTATTCTTACTAGTCCATATTTTTTTTTGATGGACATGTTTATGATAAATAGCTGTATTCATAGCCTCATCTTTTGGAGGCCTAAACTTGCACAACAGGTGTTGAAAGGTAAATGTGCCATCCTATCCTTCTTATGCATTTCAGAATTTCCTTCCTTTGTTCTGTAAAATGTGCAGTGTCTTGTGCCTCTTGGTTATGTGAAGATACCAAGTGAAGGCTGGAGTATTTCCTGCCTTTTAGATGAGCAGCCTATGTTCTCTGTGGTGGCTGTTCTAAAGAGGGTTAACTTCAGTAATGCTGCTCCTTATGATGGTAGTTTTCAAATTGTCCCCTTCAGGTATATGAATAGAAGTAAGTATCTGTCAAGCTCCCCTTTTCCCCCAGTTGAAAATACTCTTTTGCTAATAGTCTTTTCAAATGATGGCTTTGCAGAAAGCTCGTGAGCATGTGGAGCTAATGGGATAGTAGATGGTATAAGGATTCTGCAGATTAATGCTCTCCTGCTCTTAGGAACTGAATTTATCCTTCTGCGAGATCAAGCGAGATGCTGCTTTGACTGTTGCTGAGGCTATCGAAGACAAGTCGGACTTGGAGAAGTTGGATCTCAATGGTATGCAAGCTTGAATCAAAGCACGTCTAGCTTGACCCTAACTAGAAGCTCTTAGGAAGAATGTTGACAGTATCATGTATTGCAGTTGTCAGCATGTAAAAAATGGTGTCTGAGCATTGCTGGTCTCCAATGACCCTGGGACAGGAAACTACTTAGCTCTCAAAATTCTTAAGCCACAAATCAGGTCCATGATTAATGATAAGCAGTTTTAATACATCTCATAAGGTGGAAAGATTGGAGTGATACCCATATCTGTTTCCAGGAAATCCCCTTTTAATGATTCAGTGTGATCTCGAGTATTCATACTTGTGAATAAAAGCTTCCTTGCACCTCTCTTTAGTAGAATGGGTATTTTTGACCAGTGTTGATTTTTGCCGTTTATACCTTGGGTCACTTTATTTCAGTGGTACTTGTTTCAGAATCACTGAGAACAAGAGCTACTTGTGGAACTAGCAGGAAGTCTCTTGAAGACACTTGGACCAATTACAGTTTTGTCCTTGTGTAACATAGCTTAAAAACTGTCTAGCAGCTTTTTGATTCTGAAATCTGCAATGTTGCCTCTAAAATGTTATGTAGAAATGTCTGTCAACTGTTCAATTTTCAGAAATGAGATGGACTAGAATCTATAGTACAGACCCTAAGAGCAAGCTTATGTTTGTATGTCTTCTAATGTGCATCTTGATCTCTTTCCACAATAAACCAGGTAACTCTCTTGGAGAAGAAGGATGTGAGCAACTTCAGGAGATCCTTGAAGGCTTCAATATGGCAGCTGTCCTGGGATCTTTGAGGTAGGCAAAGGCACCAGAGTTTAAACAGAAGTTTTTTCCCACAACTATCAATGCCTTCATTCATGTATCTGACTTAAAATAAAAGCAGCAGTGTTGCAGATGAATGCTGGCCTACACATGGAACATGGGGGATTCCATAAGGAAAAAGTGGTGTACCTCATTTTAAGGTTACCTTGTCTCGTGGTCTTGTGCCTTTAATCTCTGGCACTTCTGGCTCTTTGTTAGCGTCCCAACTAGGTGACCTAAGCGTGAGTGATTTTTGTAACCTGTTGTAGACCAGTGCGTCTGAGATGCGCTTCTTCCAGTGAAACTTTGGAGGCAGCTGCTTTTCTGTGCTTTGAAAAACTGTTTCTGAATTCTATTGCATTAGAGCTGTGAGCATGTAGTGAAGGCCTACTTCACCTAAAAATTTTCAAACCATAGTGATGATGAAGGGGAAGAGGAAGATGAAGAGGATGAAGAGGAGGAAGAAGAGGAGGAGGATGAGGAGGAGGAGGAAGAACAGCAGCAGTTGAAGGAGAGAGGACAGGGAGAGAAGGAGGCAATGACTCCTAAGAAGATACTGGAATCACAAGTAAGCTTACTTTGGGGTGCAGTCCTGTTTCCTCCTTTATATTCTGCTCCATATGAGGAAATAAAAATGTGCAGTGAGCCTGAACTTGAAAAATTATTTCAGGAGTTCACTTTGTCATGCATTTTATCTCCCTGCTTGCTGCCAAAAACCTAGCCCACAGAAGAAAGTGGATGACTTGGAAGCACGTTTAATGTGTGCATATGCATAAAGGCATTTGTAACAAGAAAATCCAAATCTTGAAAATGGTGGGAACCTTGTGCATGCAATGCCATGCAGTTATGTTATCATACCAGGGTTATGTCAATTCTGGCCTCATCACAACATCCAAGTAGTTTTCAGACCAAATTCAGACAAATTCTGACCTGGCTGTATCCATACAAGTCAGCGCTTTGCTGTACCAATTTATTTGTTTACTTCCAAGAGTAAACTTGAGATGGATTTTTCTCTTCCAGGATTCAACTCCAGTGCCATCTCCTCCTGTGGATGTTGCCACATTCCTTGCTTTTCCCTCCCCAGAGAAGCTGCTACGGCTAGGACCAAAGTGTTCAGTGTTGATAGCTCAGCAGGTAGGAAAGCCTGTAGTTCCCAGTGCTTGATTCTTGGTCAGGGTCACTTAACCCCAGAAGTGTGATTCCTTTCTGTCTGAAGAGGGAGACTTGCTTTTGTTTTAGTGTTCCTAAGGAATCTAGGAACCAAGTGGTTCAGCTGATGCTGATAGTGGCACCAAAGGTTCTTCATGGAGTAGCTGTATACTGTATTTCTTATGCCCTGCACTATAGCCAAGGCAATGCTGACACCAGTCTGCAGGACGCCGTTGCTGCCCTAATGGAGGCCTGTCTGCTGTGTCTGCCTAGCAGTGAGCTTAACGGCTCATGGTTTTTCTTGTCTTTCAGACAGATGCATCTGATGTAGAGAAAGTAGTTACAACTCTCCTGAGGATATCCTCAGTCTTCAAAGATGAAGCCCCGGTGAAGACAGCAGTGCATGAAACAACAGGTGAGCGGGCCTCTGTTTCATGGTGTGACATGCTCCAGTCTTGGGCCATCTAGTGCAATGCAGGGGAATACCCACAAGGTCTGTGTCAGCTCCCTGAGGGAGCCAAAGCATTTGGCTGTCTTATTTTTGTTAGGATGCAAGATGACAAAATATGAGACAGTGAGAAGCTATTGTGTTGAGTAAAAATCTTGAAATTAGCAGGTCTTTGCTTCCAAAGCTTGAAGTTAAATATCCCATGTAGTTGCTGTCTTACTGGAACTGTGCTGTCCCTACTTGCATCTCTCATGCTCTGCTGTCAATAGCCAAGAGCACTGTGTTCTGAGGTCAGTTATTTTCTCAAGACTGCTTATTTAAAAAAAAAAAAAAAGGTATTTTGCAGAAAATATCCTCTCCAGTTTAGTACTGAGAAACTGTAAAGAGAAACCTCTTATTTAGTGTTTATCTTATCTACCTGTTTAGTTTCTTCAGGCAGCAAAGATTGCATTACAAGACAAAGCACAGAAGCAAATGTACAGGCAAGAGACTGTTCCTCACTATACTGTGTGGTGACTTGAGTTAAGCCTAACTTCTGCATAGATTAACATTATCCCTTCGCTTTCTCATTTGGAAACAGGAATTTTTAAGCTTCTCTTTGGCATCTGGTCACTCCTTAAGGAGAAGGACTCATCTCTAGCAAATCCCCCAACAGTATCATGCACAAGCTACTTTGCAGAACAGTGCAAAAGAACTGGATCAACTATTTAAGACATCTAGTGTGATTTACTGCAAATAAAGTGCAGTTTCCTAGTGTAGATGTGATGAAAATAATAAATTGCTATGTATTCTGGGCTATGTTAGCTGTTATCTGTGAAGAGGGAGCTTAACTCTTGCTGCTTTGCTAGGATGTTAGGTTGTCCAGTACCATGTTTGTCATAGTTAGCAGCAGTTAGTTGTGGGGCAGCCCTGGAAACAAGTGAACAAGGTTTCTCGCTGTATTTTCACTCCTTTTGGTTTCAAATGAAAGGGAAATTCTGGCTGGCCTTAAAATTACAAGGCTCCAACTCTTGCTGCTTTGCTAGGATGTTAGCTCATCCAGTGCATGCATGCTCTAGATATGCACATTCAAATGCAGTAAAGCATTCTGTGATGCTCAAACTACATGTGAAGCTAGGCCAAGAGTGAGGAGCTTCCTGTAGGCCTTTGTATAAAATCCAAGCTTTAAATTTAAGGCTTCATCTGGCTGTATTAGAGGTCTAGTACAGAGGTGTCTGGGGTGTTGATGCAGTCTGGGGAAGTAATATCCCTTAGTAGCTGATACTCTGTGAGATCCTGTGTGGGTCAGCTTTGATCTTAGTCTACCTTAAAAATAACAAGATTTCTTTCTGTCATTAGCTCCTTAATATCACCTGAGGGACCTGAAATTACAAATCAGACTGTAGCTATTGAGAAACAGAGCAAGCAGGAAAATATAGTGCTTAACATATGTTTACTTCTTTTTAGATGCCTTGATGAAAAAAGCCTTTGCTTCTGCCACATTTAATTCTGATGCTTTCATCACAAGCCTCTTGATCCACATGGGACTGCTTAAGGTGAGGAAGCAGGAAAGAGTTAAGTTATGCTCTGGTTAGGCTGAAGACCAGACTGGCTGGCACATGGGCAGTTATGTTGCCACAAAAGCATTGGGGTGCCTGTGTGTGCCTGATGCCCAGGGATAAGAGAGGTCTGTGGATCTGGCAGAAATTGTGGGTTGCAAGATCACATTGGGATGAAGTAGTTGTCAACTCTCTGTATCTGTTCTCCTTGATGCACTCTGTGTTCTCAGTGTCATCTTCTGGAGGCTTGTACCAAACCAGTTCCAGCACACAACAGAGCATGGTGTATATTATAGTAGCCTGCTTTTTTAATTGACTTTGTGGATTACCTAATCATTATATCCTACTTGGAAAGCTGACACATCCAGTGTGTCACATCTATCTGAATTTTCTGAAAAAATCAATTTCTTCTGACGCTGCGTTGTTGGACATAGAACTAAATCCCAAGCATCCCACTTCCACACAACCCAAGACAGCTCTATTCTGCAGGATGCTTATTTGATGGATTACTACCTACCTCTTATTTCATACAGAAAACATTAAATGTCTGCAATGAGGTCTAAAGCCCCAATGTGTGCTCTACAGCAACTCTTTCAAATGTGAAGCGTGTGGATGACGGTCCCTTTGAGAATCAGCCAACAGGCTGCTCCTTTATAGTATAGAAAGGGGGTCCACTGATGAATTAGGCTTGTGTGGAGAGGGAGCAGCTTCCATAATTTTCTGCCCAACATAACTGGAGGCAGAAGAGCAACCAATTCTTAGGAACATCAAATAGAAGGTCACACTGTCAGAACATGTCTAGACCCTCTTTACAGGCTGAAGGGCTTTAGTTAGAGTGGTAGTGGGCATCCATAGCACGTAAGTTAGCATCATTTCAGGAACAAGAAGAATTCCTCATGTAAGCAGGGAAACAACAGTAGAGATGGCTGCAACTTCCCCTCATACATCACTTGTGCAGCCAGTGCTGGTAATGCACCACGTACTGGAGGAAGCGGGCTGAAGAACTGCAGGGGGTGTCAAGATTGGCTAGAGTAATGCAAGGTAAACTGCATAACTAAAGCACCTGATTTTAGAGAAATTGAAGTAGAGAATTAAGGGGCTTCTGAGAAGATGTGGCTTTCACTGTGATTGCATGTGATTCTCCATTGCTCTTGACTAGGCCTTAATTGACAAGTGCTACATTATTGCTGGTGTTGCTGGTTTTGAGATGCTGCTGCTAGGAGGCTACAGGGTTGTTTACTTTCCTTAGGAAAGAGAACTTAATGCAACAAGCTTTCTCTGCTACTGTGGATGGAAGTGGTGCTTTTGGCAGAAGTCATTGCTTCTGTGAATGACAGTGGATGAGGTTAACTAATGATTCTAACTTATCTTGATGTCTCACTTGTGGCTTTTTCTCATCCAGAGTGAAGAGAAGATCAAAGCTGTCCCAAGCCTCTATGGTATTCTTATGACCTTGAACCATATGGTGCAACAGGATTACTTCCCTAAATCTTTGGCCCCAGTTCTTTCAGCCTTTGTGACAAAGTGAGTACTGTACTTGTTATGCAGTCTGCTCCATGGGATCCAGTGCAATGGTTTGTTTGAGGGTTAATAACTGCATGCAGTATGCTCTGTTAAAGCATGAGAAATGCTTGCTTTGAAAGATTTTTGAGCTTTAGAGTGAGATGTCTTGACTCCTGAAGAGAAAATGATGGGGGCTCAGGGGGAAATACTCAAAACTGTCTCTCAAGCACAGACTGTTGATGCCAGTTACAGAAGAGTGTTTTGAGCTTAAGAAAATCTGCTGAGTTTCTAGGTACTGCTTGAGTGAACTGTGAGTACAGTGCATCTACTGAGCCCTCCAAATGGCCCTGCTGTGTTTCAAGGTCAGCTGGCCTTTGCCCAACTTGTTTCTTTCTGTAACACTGAACCATGACAGGTCAGAACAGTGCAAAGACTCCTTTTGTCTTTGGGGTGCCACCATTCCTGAGATAGCAACGAGGTGGTTAGTTTTTTGAGAGCTGAATTTGGAGCATAAATGTTGAAGGTGCTTCTACTGTCATTTAATATCATTACTTATAATGTAGGTACAGAATCATCTCTTTGGGCCCCCTATCCCCCAACCTGAGCTTGTTTAATGTCTTAAAGGACCATAAACGTAATAGCTGTTAAAAGACAGACAAAGCTGTATCTCTTCTGGATTAAATCAGTGAGAGCTTCAGGCAACCTGATGTTTATGTAGTTTACAAAAAACACTTCAATAATCCTTCCTTTCTTCAGGTATTTACTTCTCCCCAGTTGTCGTGTGGAGAAAGAGCCTAAACCTTGTGGAGAAAGAGCCTAAACCTGTCCTTTTCCCCAAGACAGCAGAGATCTGAAACCCCTTTGGCAGCTGACTGGCTCCACATGGCCCATGTGCCTCTCAGGATGGGAGCACCTCTTTAATAGGTTTCAGAACCAGGCTTGAGCCTTCCCAATTTCTGTGAAATAGGGAATATGTGGAAGTGCAGGAGCTTGTGTTGATGAAAGGCAGAGACATAAGTACTTATGACTGGTACAAAGCACAGGCAAGAGGGATGCAGTCAAATACCAGTGATCACTCTCCTCTTAACTGTCTTGCTTCCATTCACAGTGGAGTTGGGAAAGGGGAAGAGGTTTTTGCAAATATTGATGTGGCTGAAATCAAAGCTGATGTAGAGTAGTGATATGTATCCAGCAAACAGCCATGCTAGTGTCAACTTTGGAAAATAAAACCATATAACTGCCTTCTACACATGTGCAAGCACTCATTTAAAAGTCTTAAGGTGGAGCACTTGTGGATGGTCTGTGTACTGGTGTGTCCACTTCTGGCTTGATCAGGCTGAGAATTAAGCAGTGTTCAAGCCAGTGGATGTGTGTTTTAACAGCTAAGTAAATCCTCTTCCCACTTCATAGGTTTAAGTGAGAAGTATTGGGAGGTGCCACATGAAGTTGTTCAAACATCTCTGTCTTTTTCTTGCACTGCTCCATCTGCCTGTGGCCTTGTTTGCCAATCAGACAGATGCCTGCAGTGTCAGGCTCCAGTGCCAGTCTTAAAACACCTGCAGAAAATGATGCCTTGCTTCTCCCATCAGGCACTAAATGCACAGACAGCTTGAGCAAAGCAAGTTATCATGTAGAGTCCATCTCCTGGCAGTCTTCCAAACAGGACTTAAATCACCTGAACTTGAGGATACCTGAACCAAAGCCCCCTTGTTCTGTATTTGACTCTTCCAGTTGTTTGTATCATCTGCTTGTGTCCACAGCAGCCTTCACTCAGTTTGGCATGTACTTCTGAACAAACTTGCTTCCATCAGACCCTGCCTCCCTTTTCCTGTGTGGTCCTGCAGGCCTCTTCTAGGCTGGAGGTCTACAAAGTACCAGTAAATGTTTTTCATCCGTAAATGATGCTTTACATAGACAGAGTGATGGCTTTAACAGAAGCAGTTTTATTGCTATCAGCAAAAATTCCCTTGAATTCATGGCCAGTGTTTTGGTACCCAGTACAGGAAGGGGGAAAGCCTTGTGAGGTCTCTGAGATCATGTAAACCTGAAAGCCAAAAGACTTTCACCGAGAGGGACAGATTTGTCAGCCTTTCTTCAGCATGAAAGGGTCTTAACATCACCTTTGCAGATTGTCATTTATGCTATGACATTCTCACAGCAGAAGCTTTAATCTGCCAGCCCCTCTTGCAAGGTAGGCTTTGTGATGTTTTAACTTGCATTCTGTGCAATATGGTGAAGTCAACACCACATATAAGCAATATGTACTTATGTGGAAAAACATGTATGTAATGTTTTTTAAGTCTTTTCCCTAAGGAGGAAAAAATGTTAAATCACTTACAAGTGATCAGAGAACTGAGAACAAGCGCAGCTCAGTAACCGTAAAGTCCAGTTACATTTTCTTCCAAAAAGATCAGGACTAAGCTGCACCACCACTCGTTTTTGTCCAGAATCATCTCCAAACAAATCAGTGTGTAGTGGGACTTCTTTTAATTATTTAGTTAAAAGCTGGGCTGTGGGCTATAAGCAGTATCCATCTTATTCTGCTGTGGTCTGGGCCGCTTTTCTTTTGGGCACAAGAGGGTGCTGTGAGTCCACATTTTTTTGTTCTGTTTTTGTGTGTTTTCCCCTCAGTTTGGGGGAAAACACTGCATGTATGTGGCTGGCTGCCTGCCCCGTGTGCCTGGGCTGTTCTCTTTTGCTAGGCCGTGCTGCAGAGTGGTGGCAGCCTCGCTCCACAGCAAGCAGGGAAGTTTCCTGGTGCTGGAGCTGGGGTAGAGGCTGAGGGAGCTTGGCTGGGATCAGTGGCAGCAGCTCAAGTTCTACATTTCCAAAAATGTGGCCAAGCAAACTTAATACGGAGCCATCCTGTCAAAATCCACCTACTCAGTACCAGTATAACGACTGAAACACCTCCCCCCAGACATGATCAAGATACAGCACAGTTACATATTGCAGTTTATGTTCTTCATGCAGGATTGCTGAATGGCTCTTGTAGAAATAAAAGTGGTTAACTCTTTTCCAGAACATAGTTCTGTTAAACCCCAGTGTACAATAGCTTAGCAGAAGCTCCTGGGCTCTATCTATAAATCCAGAATTGATTTTTTTTTTTTTCTCACCTGGATTGATTCCCAGCTCCGTTTTGGCTCTCCATTCTTTCATTTAGATCTCACTATTATTACTTGCTAAAGGCTATGTTCTCATGCGAGGCTGAGAGGGCGGTAAAATTGGAATAAAATTTCTTTGAGGAAATTTCTCTAATGAGTGGGTATTTCTGTGAGTTTCAGAAATCTGTATCAAATATTAACCTGTGGGAACAGAGAAAAACACATTTCTGGGAACTGAGAGGAAGGCTGGAGATATTTTGCTCCCTACTAAGTCTTGTGTCTCTGTAGTTTAGGCATCCAATTTCAGGAGCAGGGTACCTATATAAGGTTGTATTTATTATTATTTTGCTACTGCAGTCTCTGAGCCAGGCACTTTCTCTTGATGATCTGCAAGTTCTGGGGACCATTTCTAAGGGAAACACCAGCTGAGCAACACCAGTCAGCTGTTAACTTGGTCTAGGGGGTAGGAGGTTATATTGCTTCCCTGCAAAGATTTGAAAAAGCCCTATAAATAAATAAAGTCACTGTTCTAGTCACATATAGCAGATGATTTGGCAAGAAAAGGAGAGGAAAAAAAAGTGCTGCTTCCTTCTATCCATGTTGAGACACCAGACTGCAGAGATGAACAATCTGATTCTGCCAGCTGATAGATTTGGGGGGTGGGGTGGGGGTTGTATGCAGAGAAATAAAATTTGTTTGCTGTTTTCTTGGCACCTACTCTGCAGCAAGCGTGTTATTCTCCTCTCTGAGCTCTGAATGAAAGTACTGATCTGTACAGAGACTGGGGAGTGGTGCAAGAGGAGATAACTGAAGGGGAAAATAGAGACTTTGGTGTTTGCAGCCTGAGTGCACTTGAGATCGCGTTTGTTCAAAGTCAGTTGCGTAGCAGTTCTTGTTTTCAGTATTTTAAAACTAAATATTTCTCCTCTTTCCACAGGCCAAACCGTGCTCTTGACTCCTGTTCCTTTGCCCGCCACATGCTCTTACAAACCCTCCATCAGCTGTAACAGAGGTAACAGAGGTGCTCCCGTGCCCTCACCTCCCCCTTTAGACTGTCTTCAGCAGGGACCTCAGAGCTGCGTGGTGGGAGAGGATCCTAGAGCCCATGCAGACTTGCTCTTTTTTTTTTTTTTCTCTCTTATTCTCCCTTTTTCCCCTCCTTTGTAGGAGGTCTGTCTCTTCATTTTGTTTTCATAAACTTGGACAAATCCTGCTGACTTTTTTTTTTTTTTTTTTTTAATCCTCTCTCTTGGTGATTCCCTTGTCTGCAGGACGGGTGCGTGTGCCACAGTAGGTCTGTGCTGTTCTGAGCTCTGCATGAATCCAAAAGAAGAGTCCGTCTCCACTTCTGTAGCAGTGGCAAGAGCATGCCAAGGCTAACATTGATTCCAAGAATGCTGTCCTCAGGATCAACCAAGTTATGCGTTTTTATTTTATTTTTTCGGACTATGGCTCCTGCCTGATGCTCCTCAGCACCATGCAGGAGGGAGGCTGCAACGCTGCTGCTGCTACTTCTCCAGGCCAGGGAAGCACTTTCTCCCCTTCTGCTGCTGAGTCAGAAGGGCCGGGTGACTCCTCTTTTTTTCTTGTTTTCAAGTCCATTTGTTCAAGGCAAAGTGAGGCCTATTTTTTTAGTGTACTACAGCTGCTGTGGTGTGGATATCAGTGTAGTGTGGCTCTCTGGTGGCCATCGCTTAATGGAACAATTTTGGATTTTTTTTGCTAGTGTCTGTGTTATTTCCTTCTTCCCTTCCTTACCCCTCCTCCCTTACCCCTCTTTTCCTAATTAAAAACGGGCTTGGTTTGGAAGTGCGTACAATCCCCGAAATCCCTGCGCAATGTGTTCCTTATCTCCTCCCTTCTGCGCCTGACTGCGGGCTGTTTGCAAAGCTGAAAGAGCACCAAGAGTTGGGGCTGCACTGATTGCCCTGGGGGAGAGCTGTCCCTTTCCTGGCACCGAGGGAGCCGCCGATGCCTCTCACTGCGTACACGGAGAGCTGCTGTGTGCCTGCATAGCAATGGCACCTACCTGCACAGCCTGGGGCACACAGGGTGATTCAGGGCCTGGTCCTCTTCCCACCTGTGTCACATACATTTTCAGGCCTTTAGGAATCCATCGCTCCATTTCTCTTTGGGTAGCGAAGAGTTTATCTGTCAGCCCATGCTGGTCTTGTCCAGATGAACCAGAGGAGGTTTGTCTTCTCTTGCCTGGCCTTGCAGCTGAGGGGCAGCATAAACAGGGCTTGCATGACAAGTCAGCGGCCCCTGTGAGGGGTGGCCTTGCTGTCCCTTTGAGGTGAGAGGCAGCACATGCCACGGCTGGCACAGGGATGCAGGAAACACTGGCGCCATTGACAGAAGAAAGAATTCGGCTCACGTGTTAAATAAACGATGGTGTGTGTAAGGCCTGCTTGCATGTAATCTCTGCTTGTGTTCTTGCAGGTTGGGGGCCTGCTTAAAACAAGCAGGAGGTAAAAGGGGGAGGGCTGGGAAGCGGCAGGGGCTGCGATACAGTCTCTGAAAGCAGTGTCTCTCTGCAGCTTGTGCTAAAGGCTGTGTAGGGCACTCCATTTTCTCACAATTTCTGTGACAGAGGCTAGGAACTCTGTTTCTAAACGTACCTGCAGCTATGTAAAATGCTTCAGTCCCTGCATTCAGCCCCTCCTCTCAGGCTGAGCCCTGTCTCCTTTGCCTAATCCCAGCCCTCTTCTTCAGCAGGCTATTAAGCCAGAAGCTTGAGGGGGGGAATTGAGACCAAAGAGTCTGTATGTCCCTGAAGGCTTGAGCCTGGAGTAGCTTTCCTTGAAGCTTCCTGGCCTCTTGCCATTCCCCCTGCCCCTTCCTGGGAGGGGATAGTCATGGAGCAAAGGCCATAGAGTAGAGGTGTACAAACCAAGGCAGGCAGTCAATCCTCAGAGGTGACGTGTCTGCAGTGGCCATAGCCCTGTGTCACACATGTTTCTGTAAATTGCTCTCCCTCTAGTTCCTCCTCCTAAGAGTCCTTCCTTCCCTGCACTGACCCACTCACCTGGTGTCTTTAGCCACCTGTGTGAGGCACTGCTGTATGTAAGATGCTTTGAGAGGTTAAGCTGTGAAAATGTAATGACTGTGAGATGATAACTTAAGCTTTTTTTGAAGACAAACAAAATTTAGGAAATAAGGGTTCTGCTGGCCCTAGTATCTGGTATCCAGGCTAGATATCTGCAGGGCAAAGGAAGATGCATGGCATGGAGGTGACAGCATACTGGCAAATTTACTTCTGGGTAGGACATGGAGACTAAACTTCCTTAGAGAGGGCTTATGTTTCAGTCTCAGAAAAAAATCCAATTTTCTAACCTTTGTTTGTATTAGGAATTGCTTCTAAAGAATGGTAAGTTCCCAGTGCTGCACTGAAGGACTGAGTGTTCATTCCAGTGTTGCTCCAAGTCGCCTTGTGCAACCAACTCGCCCTAAGAGCACCACTACTGCAGGGAATATTTTTAATTTGAACTTTATTAGTCCAGCAAAACAGCAGTAGTAAAGAGAAAGATATGTTATAGTAGTGTCTAGCAGTCTTTGGGGTCTGTGAGCAGTCAATCACTGGGAGCAAGTGATGAGAGAATAGTTTCTTTAATGGAAAGCAAAGATATTTAATGAAAATTGAGAGTGAAAAGACCTCTTTATGTATCTCGCTTTCTATGTATTCGATTTTCTTCTTTTGAGGGAGTCTCCTGCTCTGTTTCCTCCATGTGAAAGGATGTTGTGCAGGACAGAAGGCATCTCAAGTTATGCCTTGGGTGCTTCAGAAATACTGTGTGGCTTTCATTGGTTTTGGAAGGTAATTGCATAGCCCCTCACTGCCTTGACCTGGGCTGTAACAGGACAAGTCAAAACAATTAATGGACTTGAGAAAGGTGAAGAGCTGCTCAGGAGCAGGAACGAGCCACAGGACCCTAGCAGTGCCCACTGTCTGCCACGTGTCCCTGGCACCAAAGCTTGTTGGTTTGTCTGGGCACTTGCTGCAGGATGATGCCTGCAGGGATCGGTCCCCTCTGCCCAGGGTCACCCTTTGGGCACGCCAGAGCAGCTCTGGAGCTGGACTGTGCCTTACTGCTGCCACAGGACTTTGTCCCTGCAAAGGTGTCAGCCTTCAGGTGACAGCTTGGGGTCTGCAGGCCAGCACTGCCTTGGTGCTGCTCGAAGGCATCAGGCCAACCTCTCCCCAGGGATTCCAAGGCTCGCGCTGAGTCCACTGCTGCTTCAGAGCCCACTGCTGGCATGGATGTGCTCTCTGCCCAGCAAGGCTGAGAGGGCCGGCTGCTGCTTGCACTGCAGACGGTGGCCTGCTCCTTGGAGGGGAGATGAGAGCTTGCAAGGAAAGGATTGAGAAGGGGAACGCAGAACTGCATCCTGTGCGTCAGTATTTTCCTTCTGACAACTGCCACCTGGCCTTGCTTTAGCTGTCAGAGCTCCTCAGATGCGTTGACCTGGTAGAGGTCGCCTTTGGTAAATTAAAACCACCTCGTCCTGTGCTCATCAGGGAGAACAAAAAACTACTCCCTTCCCGCATCTCTGGAAGATGCCAAAGCAGGCAAGTACATTCCTGGGTAAAGAAACAACAACAGCAAAAATTCCTGCAGGGAGGCTAGGAAAATTCCCTGTTTCTGACAAGCAGTCATAAGAATGTGTCCTGAGCCTTCATCCTACAGCCTGGCAGCTTCAGTTTTCATGTACATCAGGAGGAGAGATATGGACCTTGTGAGGCTGAGGAAAACCTCTGCAGGGCGTTTCATAAGGGCACATATGTGGGTGTCGCAGGGTTCCTTGGTGGCAGGGAGCGAGTGGGATGTGCCCGCTCCTTGGGCTGCCGACTGGCAGCCAGCACAGGGCCATGGGGGCCCTGCTCCTCACGCCGCTGGGGTGGCTCCTCATCGTTGTGGTACCGCTGGAAAGGGACGGGCCGCCTCCGCCACCGCAGCACAGCCCCCGTGGCCAGGCCCACAACGATGAGGAGGGTGCCGGCGATGCCGATGGCCCCCACCCACGGG